GGCGTCTCATGTCTATCACCAAGATGTTCAACATTAATTCAGTCAGGATATCTGCTTGCTGGGGTGTGCATGTTGTTGGCTTGGTGACAAAGTTGTCCATTGAAGACAAACACATTTTCTTTTAGCAGTACTGTAACGTACCATTTACAGTCCACACACAGCCCAGGTGAACTACACCTGCAGTGATTCTACAGCATTTCCTCTAAGTTCAGCTATGAAAAATTGTGAATACATCCTCTCAGATAGCAATCCATAGAGACAGCACTGGAATTCCCATTCACAAACGTATACATCTGCAAATAACTTTTAACTGCAATTGACCCAAGCGTAATTATAGTGTTGTGTGCGTCTTGTATTTGTCATGCTTTTCACTTCAAAACCAACCTTTTAATTTTAGCCTAGCAGAGAATTTGTGGTCCTCAAATCTGTGGATACAGTTTACAAATATATGTACCTCAATTTTATGTGGAAGAAGTCGGTCACAGATGGCTTCCACAGCTTGTGTTGTTGAATCGCCAACTGTATCGTCTGTTTAACCACTCGATTAAATCTCTCAATTTGCCCAGTAGCAGTGCAAGATGAATGGTGATGGCAAATTTGTCTGTCTTCTATTAAGGCAGCAAAGGCAGCAGAGGTTCTCTGAACACCGCTTTGTATTGTAATAACAGTGTTTGTGTTAATGTTCTGAGTAAAAGCAGCCTCTGGCCATTTCCTATAATAATCAGTCAGATTATTAGATTAGATTAGTGATTATAACTACAAGAATCAGTGCTCCTTCAGCAAACATACCTAGATGCTGGAGGATCAAAGTCAAATTAACTCACAGTGACTACAGCAAACTTATGCCATGGGCCATCTGGCAGAGGTAAAACTGGTCAATCAACTGGCACAAATGACAGAAGTGAATGGCATTGATCACCTCTGTGTCCATGTTCAGCCACCAGTAGAGTTCACTTAGTCATTGCTTTGTCTGCAGCACTCCCTCATGAGACTCGTACGCAGTGGAAATCAGGTCAGGATGCAAAGCCATGAAAAACAAAAAGGTGGTCGAAAGAGTATTATGAGCAGTATTTGAGAAGGGCAACAAATACAGGGTCAGTGTCATCAACATGTACAGAAGCACCACTGGAACCAGCTGATGGAGCAGCAGGAAAGGGCAAGAAGTACGTGCAGTCCGCTGCAGCATTGATGGTGGTCTGTCCGTAGGATAAAGTGGCGTTCCCAAAGGTATCTACCCCAACATTCAGCAGCCTGCATGGCGTGAGCAGAGTGTAACAACTGATACTTTACCAGTCACATGTCAGAACTCTGTAGCTCATGTCATACACACAGGGAGCATCCTGTCCTGCTCACTCATGCTACATCCTGTCTGGGTAATTCCTGTATTCAAAATACAAAAACAGGATGCAAAAGTCATCTATCACTAAAAATTCTCACTACATTTGCAGCTTGTCTGTGCTTTTGAAAATAAAACCTTTGCCTTGTTTGTAGCAGATCATTAAAGTGAAACTCATATTCATTGTGGAATAGTACCAGCAGAGTGATTTACAACCTCACGAGCCTGAGAAAATATAGGGAAATGAGAGCTCCTATTTTGCTCCTATAAGACTATTCTGGGAATAACAGTCATTTTTATTCTAGAGCCCTTTGCGCTCAGAGGAAACTGGATTCATTATAACAACAACACTGCTATTGTTACATTCAGAATTATTTGTGCATGAAGATATCCACTTCTCCCAGTGTTTTGGCAAAATTGACAATGCAGAAATCACAGCAAAACAAACACCATACATCAAACAGCTAAAAGGTGTCAAAAGAACCGCTTGGATTATCACAGCCTTAGATAACAGAAATGCGTGTTGACACACACACACACACACACACACACACACACACACACACACACACACACACACACACACACACACACACACACACAGTCTTCTCCCACCACTAATCTGTAATCAGATTGCTATCCTTGCTGTCAACTGAGAAATTCTCTAATCATCTTAATGCATAACAGCCTTTTTAGTAAAACTGGGTCATTTTACTTTTACTTTCCGATTGCAAAATACTTTTTAAATGCAAGGGCTCAAACAACATTTGCCTTGATTGCATTGCAAGTAAAGTAAAGTAAATTTCTGAAATAGAAAATTAAATCTGGACTATGATCTTAATATCGCCAATGGGATAGGAATCTATTGACACAGATTGGCATGAGATACAACGGCCGAACTAAAGAGGAGCAACAGAGGCTGCAAGGGTGGAGCGAGGAAAGCGGATCACCGGAGGCGATTCAAACCATCAATCCCAACAGTGATAATAGACAACGTGAACTCGTTACAGAATAAGATCATGATGAACTTTCTGCTCTGAACAACCACTGACTCTACTGTGAGTGCAGTTTGTTTATCTCCACGGAGACGTGGCTAACCGGGCTAACACCGCAGACCTATGTGGATTCACATCCATGAGAGCAGATAGGGACACACAAGCCAGCGGAAAAAGCGTTAACAACAGATATTGTAACCCTGGACACGTCTCCGTGAAAGTATAGGTATGCCGTCCGGACCTGGAGCTGTTAGCCATTAGCTTGCGGCCATATTATCTACCTCGTGAGTTCAGTGATGTGATCTATGTGTGTGTTTACATTCCTCCGAGGGCCTACGCAACAGCTGCCTGTGAGAATTCTTTACAAATCCTACCATGTGGATTCATGGATTTTCTTTTCACATTCTGTCTCTCACAGTTGAAGTGTACCTCTGGTGCAAATTACTGACCTCTGTCATCATTTTAGGTGGGGGAACTTGCACAATCGGTGGCTGACTAAATACTTTTTTGCCCCACTGTATGTACTGAAACCAACTACTTCCGCTTGTCAGCTTAAGTTAAAATGTTAATTTTTTCCTCTGATTATTTTTTTTAGCATTTTTTTACTGAGTTTGTTACAAATATTCAGGTTAAAAAAACTGTCGGAATTATTTTTAATGAGTTATGTTCACAAAGTCACATGTGCAGTACTCTGTACAGGCCTTTAAAACAAATAAAAATTAAACAGCTGTCGGCAGAACTGTAGGACTGAACAACTTCAGATCCCGAGTGTGTAAGGACAGAAGGATCAGCTCTATTTCAGATTTGAGATAAACTTTATATTTCAGTTTGTGATGATTCTGTTTGTGATTACAGGAGCCGTCCTCAGATTCAGACCTCAGCACCACCCAGTGACAGCAGACAGATCATCCTATATCTTCACTCTTTGTAGTAACTCCAAAATTAACTGAAGAAAACAGTACAAAGGTTAAAGTACCACATGTGCTGTCACTGAAAGCTGCAGCTGTTTTATTGATAAAGTTAAAGACAACAAGTCAAAAGGATTAATCACCCCTGTAACTGTGTACTATACATCAGCATTAACAGGACCTCAGTTTGGTGTTTCAGAAAACTGCTGATCTCAGACCTGCACAACTTCTGTTTTAAACACTGAATGTACTCACACAGGAAAACGGAGAGAGTAATTTTTCCAGAGTCAACATCATTTTCATCTAAAAGAGTAGTTATTGCACGTTTTGGAACCTAATCACTTCAATTGGCCGCTAGAGTTGGAGCCAAAAAACAGAGGAAATTCTATCAGAGTAATATAGAACGACCACGCCCATTTTCGCTTCTTAAGTTTCGTTTCTGCTGCCATTTTCTTATCCCGCAGTGGAACGGAGGCGACTGTCAGCATAAGCCAGGTAAGTGAGCAAAGTGCTAAATAATGATTTTATATAGAATAAAATGTGGAGTTTTTGTTTATGTGAAGGGTAATGCATGTATTAAAATTCAAATTCAAATTTTATTTGTCACGTACACAGTCATACACAGTACGATATGTAGTGAAATGCTTGGACAACTGCTCGTGACCTAAAGAGAACAAAAAAGGAAAAGGCTATGAATAAGATAGGAAATAAATATGAAAAATTAAAAAGGGTAAATTTAACTAGGAAGGAATAAAATATAAATTAAGGTTAAAAATGAAATAACTGTACAACACAAATTAGAATGAAGGGTAAATTTAACTGGGAAAGAATAAGATAAAGATAAATATATAAATTAAAGTTGAAAATAAAATAACTGTACAACAAAATACACAATATAGAACTATATAAGAATGTATGAAGAAATCTAAATATAAATAAATATATACACAATAACAGCAGCTGTACAAGTATTAACCGGAAATGAAGAATATAGTGACCAGTGTTGTGCAAAAACAAAGTCCAGAAAGTCCAGTGTGTGTGTAAGAACTGTATGTGTGGGTCAGTACTGTGTGGTGGTGTGATTGAGAGACCGTATCGCCTGCGGGAAGAAGCTCCTCCTCAGTCTCTCTGTGTTGGTCTTCAGGGAGCGGAATCGCTTTCCTGACCTCAACAGAGAGAACAGTCTGTTGTTGGGATGGCTGAGGTCCTTCACGATCTTCCTGGCCTTGGTCCAGCACCGCCTGCTGTAGATTGAGTGCAGGTCATATTACAGCTTCTGAGTTTGTGGGTCTTACATGCTACATAATTGCCAAGGTTTATGCTAATGTTAGCTTCCAACAAAATTAATGTTGTTCGACCACTCAGACAGCTATATTTCAATAAACTTAATTTAGCATTGCTGAATAGCTGTTTTAGGTAGTATAATTGACCAGGGAAGTGTGTTTTTAACAAATCCTGTGCACCAATGTTTTATCCAAAATGGTAGGTGAGCACATGTTTTTTACTCAGAATTGAATTGTGTGCATGGTTGCAGTCTGTAGCCCCTAGTGTATTAGATTAGCATTATACAAACTTCCTATTGCTGCAATGTAGAGCTTTGTATTACTTATGTGTTTTTTTTTTACATGCTTTTTCATCAGAACAGAGCATCGTGAGATTGTAAGACATACAAGGAATATATGTGTGTGTTTTGTTCAATTTTGCAAGTATTTGTAATAAATCAGATTATTTAACAATATCCTTTTCATATCATGAAGGATGCAAGCTGTGCGTGTAAAGTATAGAGAACAACAAAAGTACATCTGTTTTGAGGGCCAACTGACCTACACATCGTTTTTGGAATGTGGTGAGTAAAAAAATCAAAGTTTCCAGTGTGTTTCATAGCTTGTGTGAATAAGTCAAGCTTTGGGGATGGTGCTATAATAGCTGCTATACCAAATGTTTAGGCTTTTTTCTGGTTCAGTCTATGTAATTTCACTTTTTTTTTGCCTTGTTCTGGTATTAATTTCAAATGTATAATGCAATTTTATAATGTTCACAGTTGCCAAGAAGTTCAACATTCCAAACTTGGACTTCAAAGTTTTTGATGACTCAAAGACTGAAGTTGATGAGGATGTTTTTGATTTCCTTATGAAAAAACAAAACCTTGGTGTGCTAGAGATTTGTCAAGCACAAGGTCCAAATCCAGATGGTAAGTATCTTGGAATGTCATCATCATCGTCATTTTTAAACTTTTAATTGACCGGGTAGTGGGAGAGAAACCACAGTCCAGTTTATTTCCTGGTTGCAAGTGGAGAGGGTGTGAGCAGTTACGTAAGCACAGTCAGTTGTCCTATCAAATTACTTGGTCCAAATATTAAGATTGGCCAAACTTTTTTCAGGATCCCACGGGAATGGAATAATGATGAGTTTCTATCCCTGATGGAATTTTTAACAGTTTAATGTCCCATCAGCTTGGTAACAGCATTTTAACTTAAGCAAAGAAAAATCTAACATCTGCAGAAAGGTAAATGTCACTAGAATCACTCAATCACTGAGCCACTGTGTCATTCATGCTTTAACCCTTGTATGGTGTTCGGGTCTGTGAGACCCGTGTTCAGTTTTTTTCAAAAGAAAAATTAAACAATTAATTATTTTTTCACGTGTAAATGTGTTGTGTCTTTCCACTCACTCCACTTGATTATAACTGATTTATTTATAACATTTTATATAAAAGAAAAACGAGAAGCACATTAATTCATAAATGTGATCTAACAAAGGTAAAGGGAAAAAATTAACCATGTTTGCTGTTCATATGTCTTGTAATTGGGATGAAGTAAACATCTGTTGAGTAATTTAACATAAAATTGTTTGATAGTGTTAATTTGGAAAGCCAAAACTCTAGCGGGTCCACCAGACCCATGAACACTGGCTGAGTAACAAAAATACGAACACCACACAAGGGTTAAGTCCTGGCTAGTAGAACATGTTCTGTGTAAGGCAAGCTAATAAATTTACTGAATTGTTTTCAAATAATCCTATATTTTGCTGGGTACTACAATGTTTATGATTGTGTAAATAACACTAACCATCATACGAACTTAAACAAGAAGGCAAGAAGACATGAAACACTAAACATATAAAGGCTAATTTACATCATGGAGCCCTGCTCTCAAAAACTGACATGGATTTAACTATTTCTGAAGCTGGATTTAAGAAATAACTGCTAAACATTTAAAAAGATTTTCTGTTTGTTATGGAATGTGATGTCATGTGGTTGGTTGTGACTAATAAACTTAAATTAGTTTATGTTATCGATTCTGTCACTCATTGGCTAAAACAGGAACATCAAGGCACTACAACTAAAAATCTTCAACACTGCTCACTCATAAAGCACTTTACAAACCCAGCTACATGAACCTCATTGTTGCAGTCAGGGGCAGCACAAAAGTGACCTCTATAATTTTATGATTTGATAGATTCTTCTGCAAGCACCTCCTTTACCAGTTCCAGTGGAGAAATTGAAGTGGACTCTGATGACACCATATTATTGGAACACAGTCCTACAACAAGACGGAGAGCTGACGACACTTCTCTTGCCCGAGTAAGCTATGTAGTTTGCTGTATACCCTTTCAGAAAGTTGACACAAATTTGAATATATTATATGTATTATTATCACTGTCATAAAAGCACAAGATTCTGCTGTCTTTCCTTCAGCACAGGTCTGCAAATTGTAGACCAGATCGGCAACATAAAAAGTTAGTGTGCTTGAGAGACAGACAAATTTAAGGGTAATTATTTGTGCTTTTTAACAGAACTTTAGGTGGCTTTGAAGCACAGTGATCATGAATATCTAATGAACCTCAATTCTATACTAAAACATACTTAAAAAAAATAACATGTATTCGTGACTATAGACCTTTGATTTGATCTAGAACGAACCTGAAAGCTTTTTAGTATCACAAGAAAAATATTTATGATATATTGATTATATATTATTATATCGCTCTATTTTACTGTAACTTAGATGGTTGAAGATGTTCTAAAGAACAAACCAGGAGGAGAGAGGATCATCAATGAGTACGCCCGGACAAAAAGCCTAACGGATAGCAGACGGCGTGACATGGTCAAGATATTAGTTGCACATATGACAAGTGAACATGGGTATGCTGACATAGTTATTTCATAAGTATATATATGATAAATTCATTTCTCATTTATTCATTCATTTATTTTCTTAGAGGTGGTATTTAGACTTTCAACTTTGTGTTTGTCTGTGTAGGACAAGTCCTTCAAGACGTGTTAAAGAGAAATATGCAAAGGGTATCATCACGTTGTTCCCATACCTGGCTGATCCTAGGAGCAGGCTGGGCTATGTAAGTACAAAAAGAATAAGTTCAAACAATTTACTTTTCACTCGTGAATGTAAGACATTTTTCAGGCATGAAATATATGTAGAATTTACTTAACAGTTTGGCTCTGGATTGAGTAAAGCTGAAGATGTTTTTCTTTTCGCAGGACTTTCCTCTGTGCTGCCTTTTCTTAACTCTCATTATTTAAATCCCTTTAGAGTTCAGCGCTCCAGTCCCGAGCAAGGGAGCTCAATTGCTGCAATTTTCAGATTGAAAGTGTAAATATATTTTAACATGTTAATTAAAATATTTCATTTAATTTTAGGAGCATTTTTACAATGCAGAAGATGGGAGTGGGTATCTGGCTTGGAGATTGAAGTTTATCCAAAAGGAAGCTTCTAATGGACAAAACAAGACTCCCAGAATGTCAAAAACGCAAATGGGTATGTGATATTGTTAGTAGTTATAATTCAAGTCTCACTCATCTGGAGACTAAACTGCATGCATGAAAATTCTAGCTGAGTTCTCAAGCCTTGTAGGACACGGTGTCACTTTTTTGTCTTATTCATATCCACTGTTAGGGGGCCCAACATCTGATAGAGACTGTTTCAGAGAAGACAACTGCCTAATGACAGACAGCTTGTGTTCTGAGGCTATTGCACTGATGAAACATACAGCTGATGAAGGAATTGTTATGATGAAGATGAAGCAGACCTTCAACTATCGCCAAAAGATGATTCATGATCCAGTGAAGTCATCTGATATCTTTTTGGACTTCCCAAGATTCCTGGATATAGGAGGATTAGTATGTTTATCTTACCTTCAACTTCCCTCACTGTTACATTTATAAGTTGAGGTGCATCTGAGAAAAAAGTGAGCATAAAAGTTGTTTGATACAAGGAGTTTCAAAAACTTAATTTCATCTCTTCTGCAGATTGAACAAGATTTTACTTTGATGTTCGATGAAGCCACCTCTGTGAAGTTCCTGGAGAAGTGGCCCACTATCTACAAGCAGAAAGTCCTCAAACAAAGCTGTGGTCTCACGCAATCAGATGACCTTCAGTACCTTGTGCAAAATGCTGAATGCACAATAGAAGTGGAAAATGGTGAGATAAAATAAATGGAATTTTATTGTTATGTTTTAATTGGAGCATTTGAAAGTGTAACACCGTCACCTGCTGTCGCTTTTTTTTTTTTCAAAACTTTATAATGTAAGTGTTAACACAGTTGCAGATAACGTGTTTTGGCAGCTAATTATTGTTTCCAATTTACTTATGTTTCCAGGATGGGACAGTGACATGTCATCCATTTTGATCCTTGTACACCTGTTACCACCATCACCTCATGGCCGCAAGAGACCAGGAAAGCTCTCAGCCAGACAAGCCTGTGACCATCTTGTCAAGTTTGTCAAGGTAAAGTTACAGTAAAGGAAACATAACTAGTTATATTTACATTGATAACAATATTTCAGACGAACTAAAAGGTGTATGTTTAAATACAACTATGAATTTAGTCATTACCAAGAGATGTATACAGCTCAGTCAAGCAGCCTTTATGTCTTCCACAACCATATGTAGGCTGTATTTGCAACATCACACATTTCTTTTATCACTTGAGTAAAGTACACAAACAACAAGTCATTCCAAACTTTAAGTTCATTGTAAATAGAAATGCTACAATTTCAACAAATTAACTGTCATGGTAATTAACATATTTATATAGATTATATCTGCATATAGATTTTTGTAGATATACAGATAACAGATACTAGTTTTGACAAGCTAGTAGTTAAAATTGAACTAGTTTTGTCTGTTTTGTATCTGTCCTTAATTCTGTCAGCTTCTTGTTTTTTAACCGAAGTCTTATCATGTTGGAACGTTTATCTGTCTTTGTGTCACAGACGGGAACTAGCATCCAGGGGCATCTCGATGGCATCACAGAGAGCCTTCAACCATACCTTCTTGCAGTGGGCACTCAGAGGAATGTGATTCACAAGTACTTCATTGTGATAGACAAACATGCAGTACCTTGTAAGTCACCAGGCTCTCTTGCTTGTTTTGATGAGCTTTTCAAAGCTCACTTTGTCTTTGGTACGTCATATGACCACGATCTGGTCAATATGTACAACTTCCTGCAGACCACCATTTACGAGATAGATGTTGATACAACCAAAGTGAATCCTAGGGTTGCAGAGTTGAGGGCTCGGATGCTGCGTTGAATTTTTTTTTTCTACTAAGAGTGTTGAACTGGAATGTTTTGTTTCATTTGCAAGAGGTCCCAGACAAATGCTAATTCCTTGATAAAGCATTTCAAAGTGATCCATGGACTCTGTTCTGGTAAGACTCTTCGTCTTAAAGGTGGCCAGTTTGGTTGTGCTCAAGTTTATGGCACATTTTCTGGGTTCAAGTTTTGTGTACAAGAGATGGACCTCATGTAATTTGTGTTGAAGAGCTTTTCTGTTGTAAAGCATTTGATTTACAGGTGTCATACAGTGATAGTGATTCCAGTTTTTATATTGTACCATACTGTTTCCTGTGAACAATAAAGGTGGCTGTTAAAATATAAATAATTTCTGATTTATTTATTGTACCTTGCAGTGAATGATAATACATAGAGGGCGAAATAAAGTCACATATTTTTCTTCTTTTAATTCTATTTAGAGTAAAATTTAGTTGTATGTAAAATTTTAATTCTATTTGGAGTGAAAATGTTGTTCTATTTGAAATAAATTAGAATTCAATTCTGAGTAAAATTCTGCTCTATTTAGAATAAAATACTATGTAGAGTAAAATTCTGTTCTACTCAGAGTAAAATTAGGGTGGAGTTGTTTTTATTTTATACTAAACTGAGTAAATTATCATCATGTGTATTAAAATATTTGCACTGAATAGAGTAGATTTAACTCTGAAAGTTTAACTCTACCGTAAGAGTAAACTTTACTCCATTTAGACTGGGACCAAATACTGTCTTTTTTAGAGTAAAATTTTTTTCAATTTGAGTAAAATTTACTCAGTGAATTTTACTGTGCAGCTACATGAAGATGATGTTTTCTCTGACACAATTAAATAAAACCTGATTAAAGTCAAAGGTTGTTACTTGTATTTGAACTAAAAACTTGTGATCTGGAATTCTTTCACTGTTTTTGACAATAGTGTGTTATTTATCATAAAGTAATTCAGAGTCATTCATACCAGTCAGTGTGCGGCACGGTGGTTAGCACTGTTGCCGCACAGCAAGAAGGTCCTGAGTTCAATTCCAACATCAGGCCGGGGTCTTTCTGTGTGGAGTTTGCATGTTCTCCCCGTGTTTTCGTGGGTTCCCTCCAGGTACTCCGGCTTCCTCCCACTGTCCAAAGACATGCAGCTTGTGGGGATAGGTTAATTGGATGATTGCCACTAGGTGTGAATGTGCGAATGAGTGCGAATGGTTGTCTGTCTCTGTGTGTTAGCCCTGCGACAGACTGGCGACCTGTCCAGGGTGTACTCTGCCTCTCGCCCTATGACAGGTGGGATAGGCTCCAGCGCCCCCCGCGACCCTGAAAAGGATAAGCGGAAGCGAATGGATGGATCATACCAGAGTAACCAGAGAGCACAACATATATTTTACTTTCTACAGGACTTCAAGCTATGATATTATGTAAAAGTCCAGACCCCCTGAGGATTATCTGAGTACTTCTAACATTACACAAAGCAAAGGTCTCCATCAGTGTTCATGAAATGCTGGGTTCATCCTTCTTGTGAGGGAGCTGCTGGTGAAGATCACGAGCCCTGCTTGATCCCGGCGATGAGTTTCAGTCCTCCTGGTGTTTCTGAAATGATGCCTCTCACTGTGGGTCAACAGAACATCTGGCACAGGACAGCTGTAATGAAAGAAATTGAAGAAGTTTTGGGGGGGCGCTCGTGTGCAGCTATGGAGTAGACGGGTTTTCTGTGCTCTCCGTGCCTTCTCACTCATAAAGTTGCACTTTAAGTTTATTTCTAGCTGGGTAGTTTTAAAATCTGTTTCGCGGACTGTCGGAGCCGATCTTTTGTCATCATGCCGAAGAAAGATGAGAGCCAGAGGGATACGTCCAAGGCGAGCCAGTCGGCGGCAGGTAATGATGCCATATTAGCGGCTATCGCTAACCATGGAGCTGAGCTTTCCAAAATAACCTCGCTCGTGGACGGGTTGAAGAAGTCGGTTGAGGGCCGTCTCGATGCAATTGATGCAAC